CCCCCCCCCCCCTCCCCCCCCACAGACCGTGACAGAGAAAATCCATACCCATCACAGACCGTGACAGAGAACCCGGGTACCCATCACAGACCGTGACAGAGAACTCGGGTACCCATCACAGACCGTGACAGAGAACTCGGGTACCCATCGCAGGCCGTGACAGAGAACCCGGGTACCCATCACAGACCGTGACAGAGAACCCTGGGTACCCATCACAGACCGTGACAGAGAACTCGGGTACCCATCACAGACCGTGACAGAGAACTCGGGTACCCATCACAGACCGTGACAGAGAATCCGGGTACCCATCACAGACCGTGACAGAGAACCCCGGGTACCCATCACAGACCGTGACAGAGAAACTGTAGTTGCAAAGCATCAGATACACGGTCAGCAACAAATGTGTCGTATGGAAATCGAACAAAAGGATTTCCATTTAAATAGTAACAATAGGTCCATCGTGTTTCACATTTTTAATCCCGCAAGGGATTGCGCTAACAGCTTTTTTTCTTTATTTACAATTTTTGAACACTAACTTGTGAGTGTGGTATATGGATTGAGTGAAGAAAATTATTATTCTCATATTCAATAGAAATGATATTTTGCCAGGTTGACATATAAAGCAAGATAAATCTTATCTTAATGATTGAATAGAGTTTGATAATGTCTACTTCAAACAAGGTTACTATTTGCGAAAATCAAATGTTCTATTGAACGCATTTTTCTACAATTATTTTCTCTAAATATTCTTACTTCTAGCCGGTGATTTATACATATGCTTTTTTTTGTTGTGACTCATGTACAAGTGCAAATTTATTTTTCTTCTCTCTTTTCTCCATTCTAAATCATTTTATTTGAAGCACAATAATCACATTTTAAAAACAAACAAAAGAATTTTTTTCTAAGTTGTTATTGAAGAAAATGTTGAGTAACAACCACAAAGGATTACTTCTCTGGAGACTAAAGACAAAAAAGTAATAACTATGGTTATGAGTTATACTTTTAATGAAGAACAGTAACGATTGATTATTGTGGATGGCTCATAAGAATTTCATAAATTTCTCAAAGTTATTTTTAGAGACAATCTATTACTCGATCGAGAAATCATTTCCTCTGAAAAATTTTGCTTTACATCTTTTCGATAATATGATATAAAAGAGCATATAAAATCTACGTATATATCCAAAATTTTAGCCTTGCTTTAATGTCTATTGGCTAAATATCAAGAACATATTGAACATGACACAAGATCCTTAAAAATCTTTCCTCGCGCTCAAAATTTTCAGCAACAATGTCGATCTAAAATCTATTAAAAATACTTCTTAGTTTAATTACTCAACAGATGGTGGGTGTGGGTCGGAGTGTAGGTGTATGCCTTATCTCACATCCACACTAACAGTATTACATCACGATTCGTCGACCTATGGTCATCATGATAAAATCCAATCGTACTCAGATCACCATATTTTTTAAGAAATTCTGATGTTGCTTGACCATCCTATTGAAAGAAATCAATTGAAAATTCATATTCGATTTAGAGAACAAAATATACTTGGGATAATTTTGGTGTAAGTTCAAGAGCAATTTTTTTGTCAGACTATCGATCGGAATCAAAAAATCATACGGATTTCTCCAATTAACCAGCATGATCTATGCAAAAAAAGGAATTTTCAAAACTATTTCTTCTTTTTCTTGTTTTTCTTATGATTCATTCTACTTATTCGACCAATACGACGAATATAAAAATCACTTGTATCTGGTAAATCATACTGAACAACAAAATCAATAAGACCATTTGTAAATTGTTCTACAGTTTCAGTTCGTTGTTAATGTGTTTGATTTTCATGGAATGTTATACTCATGAAAGTTTTTTGTAAAAGTAATGCATCAATAGTATCAGCTGATCGCTGTGTTTCAATAAAATCAAACAACGTTCACATCTTGTTTCTTTGTAAATGGTACTTCTTCTATTGTATGTGCTACATCGACATTTGCATTCTCATAGAAAAAAATATAATCTTCACGAAGGACATATTTTGCTAATTGCTGTAATTGGTTAGAAAATGTTGCGAAAAATATCCATGGAACACGTTCTTCTTGTGATGATAAACCAAGACTTTCTAATTTTCGTATATCAAATTCCAATTCTGTATCTAATATTCTTTAGAAAAACAAAAAAACCGTCATCAAAATTAGGTTCAACACCACCGGTGTCGTTTTACATACCGATTAGTTTCATCTATAACGAGAAATTTCACTTGTTTTTAGTGAAACTGAAATAAGGAATTCTGTAAAACTTTGAATACAATCCACTGAATTATAATTTTACTTGGACTTTTCCCACCATGTCTTGAAGATGATCCGATACAGTAAACATATCAT